ATTCCGAGGTATTATCTGTTTTTATTCTGTAGATTAGGGACTATTCTTCGTTTCGGCCACACTTTGGGGGCATTATTTCAGAAAGTCAGCCAATGCTGGAGGCATTTTGTAGTCCTCCTGTAGTTCTGTTTTGGCTGAGTGGTCTGGACACACGGAATTCTAACGAAGACTTCCCGTTTAGATCTCGTCAGCGCTGCACCCCACCTCGAATGGGAAACACAATTAGGGTTACACACCAGATCGCATCGCCCAGAGACGAGTTGGTCGGCCTAATCATGGGGTCGTTGTATGCGCTCGAAGTTCCATTCCCTTTCGTTGTTTTAATGAAAGGGTTGTATGGATGATGGGATTCAAAAGACAGCTTACATAAAAAAAATCAGTCATATCTCCTTACCCGTAAAATAGCTATCAAAGCTGCCCATTGTATGGAAATAGGTTAAGTTTGGATAAGCCTCTAGTTCGGTTAGATATCTCACCTCATACAAAACGCGAAGGTCGCATACATACACATACACACACACACACACACGCACACATACAGGCAGAACACTAGTGGAGGAAAACAAGAGTATGAGCGCAAACATAACAGGGTCAAAAATACAAGTGATATTTGTGGGGAATCTGTTGTTCTGCCACAATCGTATCCAATTAACTCGGCATTCCTGAGCGATCATGTGAGGGAAGCAATAAATAACCAACCGAAACATGAAATGCTTCATTAATTAGACCAAGTAGAGCTATAAGTACTAGACCGGATTTTAACCGGCTACCTTTTTTGTATGTTTGCTTGGCGATGCTTCGTAATAAATGGTTTCTTCCTCCGATGATGCCTATCACGGCGAAACCGACCCAACCACATCTTCTTCTAAAGGGGCATTAATAATCACAATTACAGGTCAGTCCTTCAGTTTTGGGTGAGACCTTTTCAACTAAATGATAGGCTTTAATTTATCCTTACCTCTCAAAAGTTTTACTCGTCGAGACTGACATGAGGCTTCGATGCCGACAAGATCCCATCGTTACTCAAACTGCATTCAAGACCGCTACATCATCACGACTGCCAATAGAGCACAAAGCATGTATGACCTTTACAACTAGACAGGCCGCTGCCAAATCATATAATAAAATTGGATTGTCGATTGGGCAAGCACATAGTTGCCATCCCAACCGACAAAGTTACTTCTTTCCTGTGTATATTTCTATACTGCTAGTAGCTCTCGAATAAGGTAATAAGTCATCAGGTTAGATAAGGTTATCCAAGGAGAGATAGTAACCTAGGCCAACTAGGCAAAATCTAATGCTATTATGGGAACGTACTATAAAAAAGATAGGCAATAATAATAATTAGTAATATAGTTCTAATATTGACAAACACCTGTTTTAGAATTCATTTTGGAAACTGTAGTCGGGGTAAGATCTAAAAATCTTTTTGGAGGTAAAGATACGCGAAATTAAGCAAAAATTCCTCCATAATTCCTTACATCAACTTGTTTATATTTACGAAGAACCGATAGCTTTGAAACAGTCTGAGACAGAATATGGCACGAAGCGAGAATAAAAGATGTACAAAACTGTAATTTAACTATGCTGGAGTCCTGTCTTTGATCATTTTCGGAAAAATCGTCAATGTAAGCGAAAGTAGAATGAAAATCTCGACCAGTTAAAGAAGACCGCCTGCCGGCTGTAGCATACAAACTGGTGAAGTCCAGCGAGTCTTGTCCGATATCGCAACTGTCTATTGTGTGATTCACAGTCTGTTCGCTATTGCCTCACCTCATGCGTTGCCACCTCCTGGTCTTCTGCCTGACTGATGGGTGCCGCGGTTGCTTGGGCAGCATTGTCAGCATTGTCAGCACCGAACTTGAGGTTCACGAATTGAAGCTTCACCAACCAAGACCACCTCAAGACCATCTTATGACCATCACACTTGACAACTCGATCGAGCCCGATTCTGCTGGGGTTCAAGAGAAGCTGACTCTTTCAAAATGGTACTGTCCCCACTCGCTCTTGCCTGTGCAGATCTGGGCCAGTATGAACTGGTGCGATGAGATTAAGCAACAAAATCAGGCCTCCTCTTTCCGTTATCGAGACTAATTTTTCGATCAACACTTGGCAGCCATGCGAACAGAGTGTAGATACTTATTTGTATGCACACATGAGGAAAGTACACAAATCACAGTTATCGAGACAAATTGAGGCCTTGGTTAAAGTATGTTGGGCTGTTTCATCCCACGCGCCCTAATTACTTGACATTATAATGGATTATTTTGCACTACCGTCCAGTTCTTGTGATCACTTTTGCTTCGCCTAGATTCACACGACCGCAGAATAACGCGACTTGCATAGTCAGAGTGTGTAGGGATGTTGTTAAGTGCTTAATGCGTGTAAAAACAAGTTGCAAGAATGGTTTCTTTTCAATTTGCAGAAAAATCTGCCATTTTCGCCATGTTTGGAGTTGGAGGCGCTCCTTTCGGGACTTGGCAAATGTGATATTGCCGAAGGAAGTACGCTCAGACTCGTGCCTGAATCCCCGTGAAATTAGAATGATTGAATGAATCCTTATTGGATATTTGGGATCTACCCTTCACACAAATGTAGGGTTGCATTCACGTGTGTGTCTGCGTGTGGGAGGAATAAGACTGAGGGTTCTTATCGGCGGCCATTCATGCCGGCTATAAGCCGAGGTCGTCTAGACCTCGAACCCACTTTATCGTCAAGCCGGTTGAAGCCTGAACCAGTGTCTGGCGGAGCCTCAGCCGCCTA